GAGGCCACGGTGATGGTCTCAGCCCCTCGGCCTGCCCTGGGCTCCACCGGGGTGTTTGGCAGTGGGATGCTCGGTCTCCTTGTCCTAGGAGCTGGGGGGGGGTGGGGGGAATAATATATGTTGCTAAGATAGGGGTGCTGCTGGCTTCTTTCCATTGCTCACCCGTGTGTTATCCCTCTTACAATATTCTAGACGTTTCCTCTACCTCTCCTGTATTTTGGGAACCAGATCACAGGACTGTTCAGCACAAAGAAGCTCAAGTACGGATGGCTTTTCTCTAGGGGGGGTATAAACTGGGGTGTTTTGGGGGGCCTGGTGTTTGTGAGGAGCTGCTGCCAGCCCTGAGGCTTTGCAGGGGTGAGGGTGACCTGAGCAGGAGCCGCTCGGGGCGATGCGGTTTCTTCTCTGTCCACACTAAAAGGAGCCATGGGTGCGTTTCCATGTGCTTTACCCCAGCCAGAGGCACTGGGTCACCCCTGGGTGAGGGTCTGGGGCTGTCCCTGGGGTCCCCCATGCTGTTATAGGGGCTATCTTTTGGGGTGTGGGGGTGACACCGTTTCCATAAGGAAGCTGCAGGGTTTCCAGTGGCTCCGTGCTCCGGAGGTGCATTTTGCTGACCCTCGTTCCTCCTGCAGCCTGCCCATGTTCACTGTCCTGCGACGCTTTTCCATCCTCTTCACGATGTTTGCCGAAGGATTCTTACTCAAGTGAGTGTTCCCAGCCCCATTCCTTGGTACCGGGTAGAGTTAGAGGATAGGGATGGAGCTCCCAAAGCCTGAAGGCGTTGGGGTGACGTGCGGCGTATGAGTGAGCTCTTGTGTGTTGGGATATCCATGTGGTCAAGGGGTTTGGCGCTGAGCCGGGGTTTGGGAATGACGGCGGGAGGAGGAAGCGGATGCAGGGAGCTGCAGTGTGTTATGTGCTGTGTTACTTGCCTTGATCTGCTCAGCCCTTCTCTGGTGTGCCTGGAGGGAGCGGGGTGAGACGAGGTGCTGTGCAGGGAGGGATGGATGCACTCTGGCTGTGCGGGGTGTGTGTGGAAGTGGAGGGTGCTGTGTCCATCCACCCCATCTCATGGCTCGCCCCTGCCCCGTGCCCAGCTGAGCCATTCTCTGCAGCAGGCAGAGTCATGGTGCTCTGGAAGTGCTACTTTACTGGACACGTAAGTGCTCAGTTGGTGGAGCGGGGCCAGAGAAGGGCACCGGAGCTGGAGCAGGGCCTGGAGCACAAGGGTGATGGGGAAGGGCTGAGGGAGCTGGGGGGCTCAGTGTGGAGAAGAGAAGGCTCAGGGGGGACCTGATGGCTCCCTACAAGTGCCTGATAGGAGGATGGAGCCAGGAGGGGCTGGGCTCTGCTCCCAAGGAACAAGGGATGGGACAAGAGGAACCGGCCTCAAGCTGCCCCAGGGCAGGTTTAGATGGAGCTGAGGAACAATTCCTGCCCCAGAGGGTGCTCAGGCATTGGAACAGGCTGCCCAGGGCAGGGCTGCAGGCACCGTCCCTGCGAGTGTTCACACAGCGTGGAGGGGAGGCCTCAGTGCCATGGGGCAGTGGTGGCCGTGGCAGGGCTGGGGAATGGTTGGACCTGATCTTACTGTTCCTTTCCAGCCGAGCTGACTGCATAAACTTGCACCTCACCGATGCCAAGTTGTGTTTGTTTTTAAATCACGGAGATAATTGTCTAAAACCGTCTTGTTTTTACTTGCTGCAACGCTTTGCTTGGGGTGTTCTCCCCCTCTGTACGTGCCGGGAGGAAAAACTTCTCCCTGTGTTCTCACAAGAACTCAGTGCAGGTTTGTGCTGCCTCTGCCTTTAGGAAGAAGTTCTCTTGGGGTATTCAGATGACGGTATTTGCCATGATCATCGGTGCCTTCGTAGCTGCCAGGTGAGCTCCCCGTTTGCTGTCCCCTCTCCTGGGGCTCTGAAGGGTGCCACACAGCAACGCCAAGGGGAATCCGGCACCACGGTGTGCTCCCAGAACAGACAGAGGGAATGCTGACTCCTTCTCTCCCCCCCAGACATGCTCTCTAGTAGGAAAGAATGTTTCACCGACCCAAACCCCAGCCCTTCCTCCCATGATTAACTTTCTCTGACAACTTGCTGGCTAAACAGGAGGTGGAAGGAATCTTGCAAGTGCAGCTTCAAACTTTAACTTTGTTTTTTTCCCCTCTCCTTTCCCAGTGCTGACTTGGCATTTGATCTGGAGGGATATATTTTTATCCTGATTAATGATGCCTTAACAGCTGCAAACGGGGCCTTTGTGAAACAGAAGCTGGATTCAAAGGTAGGCTGACCGCTGGTGCTGGGCACTGCAGTGTCGCTGCTTGGTTCAGAGAGCGTCACCCCATCCCTCTCCCAAAATCTCCTGTCTAGAAGGCTTGGCAATAGCTCTCAGTGCCAGTGCTGCCAAACAGCATCAGTCAGAGCCACGTCCCTGTGCTGGTTATGACCGCAGCCACTTGGGACAGCAAAGAAATGGCATTTTGATTGATGCGGACCATAAAGGCTGTTGAAGACTTGCTACCTGAGTCTGTTATTTGTATTGATACATATATGTGTGTGTGTGTGTATACACATACAGAGCTATATTAATATGTATATATTAAAATATGTAAAATTATAAATATCTGCATTTACATAGAGAATTATGGAATGAATGGGAATGGTTGGGGTTGGAAGGGACCTTAAAGCTCATGAAGTTCCAACCTCCCTGCCTCGAGCATGTATATGTGTATATGTGTGTGTATATCTCTCTATCTATAGAAATCTCTATATATGTGTGTATACAAACATTATCTATATGTGTATCCAGTCAGAAAAACATAATATCTATATATAGATATTTATACAGAGATGTGCATATCTATGTAGCTATATATATAGTTATATAGCTATATATTTAGACAGATCCATATAAAACCACCCTCCAACTCTTCTGTCTCTGAGAATCCCCCCTGGATTCAGCTCACAAACGCAGTCTTCAGCAGCACTACGAATAAGGTTTTATGTTTCTGTTTGGAACCAGCTTAAACACACAGATGTTTCTTGTTCCTAGGAGCTGGGGAAATACGGTCTGCTCTATTACAATGCACTGTTTATGATCCTGCCCACCTTGGTCATTGCCTACTTCACTGGAGATGCGCAGAAGGTAGGATTCCTGCCCCAAAAGACTATCATCTTTATTGGCACAAGAATTCAGAGGCAAAAGGGTTTGCTGAGAAGAATGTTTTACTGTTCCTTATAATGTGCTTTGCTGTAATGTAGCCTTCTTAGGAAAAAATGGGAAATACTCAAAATGAGAAACTATAAAGTTGGTTATTAGCCCCAGTTTGCTCACAGGAACCACTTAGTGCCTGAGGGAGGAAGTCAGGGCAAAGGATGGGAGAGTAACGACCCCAAAACCACATAAGCAGAAAGGAACTCAGCCTTACGCTGGACTTACTTTAATTCCACAAAGTTGCTCCATTCAAGCATTTTTGTAACGTTTGAATGGGGAAGTGGGAGAGCAATAGGTGAAACAATATTATTCAGAACAAAGAAGTTGAGTGTTTTAAGGATATGAGTTTCTTCAAACTCCCTTGTGCCCTTCTTTCTTGCTGAGAGTTGAGATGCTCTAGGGGTCAGTTTGCTGGTGCTGCCTCATCAGGGCATGATCTGATTTACATGTGCTTACATATATGTGACATTTATAATATGAATGATTTCACATTCATTATTAATAATAGTAATAATTATTATTATGAATAATTATTATGAATAATTATTGCCTTGGCTTATGTGCAGCCATACTCGGTGGCCTCTCCTGAATAAGAGCACTCCTTTTTCACTCCTGCACGGGTGAGCATCCCTCTCCATGGCAAATTTTGAAGGCTGGAGGTGTTGCTCGTGCCCCATAGACACCTCTGTCTGTCCTCCCCAGGCTGTACCCAGAGGGCTTTTCTCTCATTAGGAGCTTAAAGCTCTAATGAGGGCCCTCCCTAAGCAGCCACTAAGATAAGGAGCTGTGATTAGTGAGGAGAGGTGATTGGAGAGGGTGAAGGGAGCTCAGACCCTGCCCTAGATAACGTTGACTTTGCCAGAGGGGAGACTGAGATGAGCTCTTAGGCAGAAGCTCTTCCCTGTGAGGGTGCTGAGGCACTGGCACAGGGTGCCCAGAGAAGCTGTGGCTGCCCCATCCCTGGCAGTGTTCAAGGCCAGGTTGGACACAGGGGCTTGGAGCAAGCTGCTCTAGTGGAAGGGGTCCCTGCCCGTGGCAGGGGGCTGGAACTGAATGATCTTAGGGTCCTTCCCACCCAAAGCAGGCTGTGATTCTATGATTAAGTGCTCATTTATAGGCAGGAGGTGGCGGGCAGGGAGCAGGACGTTGCTCTGGGCTGCACTGTGCAGCCTCTGTTCAGCCCGTGGAGAAATCTCCTTTATTTCTAGGGTTTTTTCCTCCTCTGAACAAACTCCGCTCTCCCTGGCCGAGCTCCTGGCAGCCAGAGGCAGACAAAGATGCGTTTGTGGGTGCTGCTGCCAGGAAACCACGTTTGCAGCCTCATGAAAACCCCCCTTGTGCAGGGCGTGCAGCCGGACGTGTCCCAGGGCAGAGCCGGGCTGGGGGCTGCATCGTGGGGGGCCACGCCGGGGAGAGGGGGGTTTGCATGGGGAAACTGCCCCCATCCACGTGTTAACTCTTGTAGTTCATTAACAAGGATCAAAGACAATGATTGTTATGTGAGCGGCAGAAATGGGGGTGCCGATGGTGGCAAGCAAAGCCCTGCATATAAAAGATAACTCCTGGGGGTTCCATCCCCCTGAGTCTGCTCTGCTCCAGGCTGAGCAGCCCCATCTTGATGAGCTTTATGGTCCCTTCCAACCCAAACCAGTGTGTGATTCTATGGTACTGTGGTTTATAATGTATGTGTGAAATCCGCCTTCATGGGGAGGTGCAAAAGAGCTCCTTGATTTGGAGGTGATGCTGACGTGGACAGCCCGAGGACATCACCCTGAGCCATGTTAGGGTTTGTTTTTTCCTGCTGTGATGTGAAAACCAACATCAGGGGTTTGTTTCGTGTCTTGCTGTGAATGACTGCATTTCCTTTTCCTCCTCTAAGGCTTGGGGTGTGTTTCTTGCAGGCAATGGAGTACCAAGGCTGGGCAGACATGTTCTTCATTGTGCAGTTTATGCTGTCATGTGTGATGGGGTAAGGTCACCCCCTGCTGTGGTGGTGGGTGCTGCCATTTGGTGGTCTGAGCCATTCTGGGTTAAAGAAATAATAAATCCTTAGTCCTGATGGGGACAACATTGCTGAGAGCTGTGGCAGATGGAAATCATTTCCTACCCTGCTTCAGTGCAGGTTTAGCCCAAAAAAGCAGTGGTATAAATACCACTGTAGAAAAGAGGGGGTGAGATGGGCGGTGATGCACAAAGCGTGTCCTGAAAGCTGATGTTGGCTCTTCCTCCTGCAGGTTTATTTTGATGTACTCCACGGTTCTTTGCACTCAGTATAATTCTGCTCTTACAACTACAATAGTTGGCTGCATTAAGGTAAGTGGCTTTCCCTGCTCCTTGCCCATCCAGCAAGAGCCCTGAACAGCCTTGGGGCATCCACAGCATCCCTGCAACCGCTTCCACTAAGCATCCTCATGGTGCATCCACACTGTGCATCTCCTGGCTCTGCCTACACAAGCACAGGGGCTCTGGGGTGCTGCACAGGGGGCAGGACAGCTCCAGTGGGATTCAGTTTTTAATGCATTCATTTCTTTGCTGCTGTCTGGAGTACAGGAATACTCTGTGCATGGTTGCGTGGCAAGAGGCTGTGTGTGGCGCTGAATGGGGTTGGTGCATTCAGCTTCCCCAGGGTTAATGATGTGGAAGACACCCAGAAACAGCCACAGTGCCTGTGATCTGCTGGGTCACTGTGGCCCAACAAGCCCATTGCACGAATAGATGGCTGCTCCTGGGTGTTCTGCTGGGTTTCAGTGCCCAGCAGTGGGTGCTGAGGCTGCTCTGGAGTGGAGCCTCTGTTCAGCAGCTCTAAACCTGCCCATCCCTGGCAGTGTTCAAGGCCAATTTGGACACAGGGGCTTGGAGCAAGCTGCTCTAGTGGAAGGGGTCCCTGCCCTGGGTGAGCTTTAAGCTCCCTTCAGCCCAAACCATTCCGTGATTCTTTGAATCCAGCCTTGCCAGCACTTGCCTATTCCATGCTTGGTGCACCAGAGGTTTCCTGTTTCCATAGTGGTTAATGCATTGAGCACAGGCTTGTCTGGGGCTGTACAGAAACTTGTGCTCTTGCTCCTCAAATCTTGTTCCTTTGCAGAATATTTTAGTAACCTATATTGGGATGTTTTTTGGAGGAGACTATATTTTTACATGGATGAACTTCATTGGTCTAAATATCAGGTAAGAACAACTTTGTTCATAGTTTTTAGTTGTGATTTTAAGTGAGAACTGCTGTCAAACTGGAATGGTTTGACAGGCTCCAGGCTTCTTTCAAAGGAATCCCTGTGGTATTATCTATCTGTGCTGCAGCAGAGGAGCCAGCATGGTGTCGACCCATGTCCTGGAGCCTGAGATGAGCCCAGCACCACTCTGCCCCTGCTCCCAGCTCAGGCTGGAGGAGCTCCTGGATGGACTTGGGTTGTTTTAAAGCCTGGAGAACACATGAGCATATTTTAGCAGCAAACTGAAGCTGTTCTCAGTGTTGCAGTTGGGAATCCTATCATTAAGGCAGCAAAGGAAGCACTCTGGTTTATTTCAGCTGTGTTTTAGGACAGCCTTTGGGAATGTTGCCTTTCTGTGTTGTGAAAACTCCCCTTTGTCCTTCAGCAGGATCCCTTCAGTGGGTCCAGCACCAGGTTAGGGACTCAGGGTAGCAATGTTTGGGCAGGAATTAGACCAAATACCTTGTCTTAGGAGGCAAATGGAGAATTTATTTGCCAGTTGATGCTTGCAGCAGATCCTTGACCATGGTTTCTATCTCATGATGTCTCCATTTGTTTTGCAGTATTGCTGGAAGCCTGGTGTATTCCTACATCACTTTCACAGAGGAGCAAAAGAGCAAGGAGTCCGAAGCTGGCAGCAAGATGGATATTAAAGGAAAAAGCTCTGTGTGACCAAGCAGAGGCTTTTTTTGGGAAGCAATCTATTTCTGTTCAGCTGATCACGGGCAGAATGTGGGAAGGAATCCAGGCATCTGCCATGGAGTAACAGTGATGCTCTTAATTTGCACAATCTCGATGGCTGCCTTTACAAATCATTGGGAAGATAACTGCACGGTGAAGAAGACATCTAATTCAGACTGATCATGAGGAATTAATGGGGTTTTAATCACGCTGAGATTTGGCAGAAGTGATTGGCACAAGCAGCATGTGTTTGAATCATGGAGGACTGTGTTGGCTCCGAGGGCTGTACCTGAGCATCCTCGACCACATCCCATCTTGGTGCAGCCACCAGGGTGGATGCTGGGTCTGCTGATGGTGCTTTTAGGAGGCTTAGGGACATTCCCAACAAGAAGGTTTTATCTCCCACCAGTGCACTTGGCAGGGCCACAGCCTCACTCAACCCACCCCTTTGGATTTGGGAAAGCTGCTGGCTGTGCTGGGGCAGGGAACCTCACAGGGTGCTTTGGATCAGTAGGGAGCAGATCTGAAAAATCCAGTGCTCCTGCCATCCTCTTCCCATGCAGAATAATCTAGAAGAGCCCCAGGGACTTGAATCCTAGAATCCCAGCCTGGTTTGGGCTGGAAGGACCTTAAAGCTCCTCCAGCTCCAACCCCTGCCACAGGCAGGGACCCCTTCCACTAGAGCAGCTTGCTCCAAGCCCCTGTGTCCAACCTGGCCTTGAACACTGCCAGGGATGGGGCAGCCACAGCTTCTCTGGGCACCCTGTGCCAGCGCCTCAGCACCCTCCCAGGGAAGAGCTTCTGCCTAAGAGCTCATCTCAGTCTCCCCTCTGGCAGGTTAAAGCCATTCCCCTTGGCCTGTCCCTACACCCCTTGTCCCAAGCCCCTCTCCAGCTTTCCTGCAGCCCCTTCAGGCACTGGAGCTGCTCTCAGGTCTCCCCTTCAGGAGCCTTCTCTTCTCCAGGCTGCCCCAGCCCAGCTCTCTCAGCCTGGCTCCAGAGCAGAGCTGCTCCAGCCCTCGCAGCAGCTCCGTGGCCTCCTCTGGACTTGCCTTGTTTTAACAAGTCAATGGGAGCTGCCTGGGGTTTTGAGGTGTGGGGTTGGTCCCTGCAGCACTGAGCACCAGCACTTCTGCTTTGGCCAAGCCCCGTCCTGCAGGTCGCAGGGTTTTTGATATTAAGTTGTTTTTGGTTTGCGACCCATCAGAAGAATGGGGTTTTTAATATGTTGGCAGTGTTAGCTGATTTTTAAAGGTTGTTTTACACAGCACTTCTTTCTAGGTCTCTTCTTAGATTGTCTTTTGGTTTAAAAAGGACTGTTTATAACTTTGGTTAAAAAACACAATTTTGGTAAAACTCTGTATTTATGAATTATTTTGTATACGCTGCTTTGGTAACCAGGAAAACAGCTTCTACACACACTAGAATTTGTTTCTGGAAGATACTTGCTAAAAACTTAACTGCTGTTGGGCAAAGCTGCATCTGTGGGGGTGCTTAACACTGAAATCCTTACATGCGCTGTGGATTGCTGTAGCAGTGCTGCAAAAGCCTCATGTGCTGGTATGAGGCTGCTGCTGCCTGCTCCAGAATCCCCCTTCACCTGCGAGTTCCTTCTGGTTTTGCCACATTTGCTTGTCATTTGGCCGTGCTGAGGCCGTTGCAGTCAGGAAGTCCATTCTGTCTAAAGCCCTGATGGGGTTTGGAGTTATTTTTTGAATCTGCTGGTTAGATTTGTTGGTCCAAATGATATTTTTTAAAGCTTATTTTGTCTGTAACCAGGCACCCTTCGGTGCCAGGCTCTGGATGGTATTGCATACACTGGGAAAGCAAACAGAGTTCCTACCACGCTATTTTCTATGCTATTAGTCAACTAAAATTGTTTTCTACATAGAATCTATTTACAAAATGACCATTTTAGTGATTAAAAGGGTGACCTTTTGATTTGAATGTATGGCAGGCTTTGGATGTCAGTCAGTAACGAGAGCAAAAAGAAGTTTATGTGCCTATGTATTTTTGTACTGGCTTCAAATAAAGCAGTGTCTTTCATTCCTCCTACCCTGCTCCTCCTGCCTTCTGCCACGGCCTGGCCTGTGCTTCCCTGGAGCAGCAAGAAAAGGCTGGAGATGCTGACAATAACAGGGATGCAGCAGGTTTGTTGTCCCTTGTGTGTATGGGTGGAGCGAGTGGGGGGTGAGGGAGGCCTCTTGGGTTTTCAGCTTTGACTCGGAAGTTAAAATTAACTAAGTTAACAACCCACAAAGAACTAAGTCATAACCCACAGCTCACCCATTGCTGCCTCTCCTTGATGTCAGCACCAGCCTTCCTCTCTTCGCTGCCTTCCTTTATATGATGCTGCCTTTACATTAAAGCCCACAGGTCTCTGGGCTGCCTCTTCAGCTGCTCAGCTACCACCAGTCCTGGGCTGCTGCTGCCCTGACCCAGTGTTGGGGAAGATGGATTCAGGAGCAACCTTGAAAGAAAGAAACAGTGCAAAGTTTAACCAGAAAAGGGTGGTTTGTTTCTGTGGTTTCCACCACGCTGCTACAATGGGGTGGGTTCTTCACCTCCTCCCTAAGCAGAAATCCTCTATCCCATGCTTTGAGCAAAAAAACTCAGGAATTCTTTCTGCAGACAAGTTATGTTTAAAAAATAGTTTAATAAGGTTTTTCAGAATTGCAGACGGAGGGGGATCAGAGAAGGGAATTACTAACAGTGCAAAATTACTATGTGTGGAAAATGTATAAAACTAACTCATAAGTTTTGTGTGTGTGGTTGGTTGGCTTTATAATATCCCATTTACTCCTTTAGGAAGCCCAGCAATGAGGTTGACTCTGAACTGGGCTCTCCACGCAGGCTGCAGTCTTAAAGCACTTCATCATGACAGCACTTCCAAAACACACCCAACTCGTGATGTGAGGCTTCAGTGCCGTTTGGAAACAAGGCTCTGGGCTCCAAACTGCACCAAAGGCTTTGCAAATGAAATCAGAGTTACTTTAGTTCTAGGCTTTTAAATAGCTTTAGTAGTGCAATGACTTATCAAGTCATAGTGGCTGCGGGTTGAAGAACAGCAACAAAGTCTTGTATAAAACACCAGCATAAACAAAACCTAAATCAGAATGAAATATTCTTAAAGTCTAGCTGAGCCTTGCAGAGCTGCTGATTATGGAATGTCAGGTGTCTCCTATGCGTCACCAAAAGGAAGTAAGATAAACCAAAGCAACAGTCCTGAAGATACGCACGGTGCTGTATTTCACACACGAGCCTGAGACAATCGACTTAGAAACGTTTCTATCAGGTTGTGGAAGCAAACAAAACTGTATCAGAATAAAACTGAAAATAGGACTCTAGTTGCAAAAGAAGCACTGCACCACCGTCAGTCTGAAATGGTCTCAAGCCCGTCTTTGATCCAAGGCTGTGATGCTTTGGGTTTGATGAACCAGACTGGGAAGTTAACAGCAACCTCTCACCAAAGCAATCACTTCATTACTTGATTAACGCAGGCTGTAGTTAGCAAACCTCTCTGCTGTGCCTCTCCATGTGAATTGCTGGCTAATTCTAGGCAGATGTCACCTTCCACACGTCAGCTGGACCAGTCAGAATGGATCACTCACAGCACTTCTGGGAACAGCAGGTTTACAGCTCCTGTAACCCATCATGGTGACAGAACCAGGCCGGATCCAGAGGATTTGGCTCATTAATGACCATGAAGTCCAAGTTCACATAGTTGAAGAAGAAACGACACCAAACAAAACCTTTAGCAGTTGGGGTTTAGGGTGATAAATCAGTTTCAAACCATAGGAGCATACACTTAAAACCGGAATCATAAAGACTCATAAACATGAAAATAACCCATTAAAAAGGGCCAGCACGCCTGTAAGCCACAGGAGGAGGAGGACACGAGGTGATAAATTATACAAATGAACAATTTTCCTATTTTTTTAACAACAGTAGATGTGGCTTTAAAAATAACAATAAACCAAAACACTGGTATTAAAAACTTTTCCTATTTCATGGATGTGAACCCTACCTGAAATACTCTCACATTCTGCTAGTGGGATGGTGAGCATCACGCTCTCCACATATGCTATAAAGAATCCTCCTTTCTCCCACCTTGTACCTACTCTCACTTGTTACACATGAAGCTCTATACACTGAGTGTATCTGCTGTGCCAAACATGTGTATATGATGTTCCTGCTCCCACTGAAACACCGATCCAGACAAGGCCCACTGCTTGTCAGACATTCCAGCCCAGGTTCCTGGCTGCATGTCCATTTCCAAGCTGTACAGCCAGAATCCCTTCCCACTTCCCTCCCCTTCCTGTGCTTGGTGAAATGTGGAAGATGACAGCCTGCAAATAAAGCAGAGGATGAGCTAACACCTGATCCTGGTGAAGCATTTAGCTGAGGTGAAATTTAGCTGAGTTCAGAAAGAAAAGAGACCATGGTTAAGGGAAGCGAGGGACTTTGTGCAATGCAAGCATCATGCTTAACACATCCTTAGCATTACTATTTGCCATAAAAAATAAGAAAAATCATAGTTTCCAAAATCAAATGACTTGTAACCATTCTTGATGTCAAGTATTGACAGTTCTCTGAGAAGAAAATAACATGATGGTGGCTAAAAAGCATCTTTTAAGTTGATTGGTTTGGTTTAGGGGTATTTTTTGTCTTTTTTTTTTTTTCCTAGAAAAGACTTCAGCAAAACAAAAGGAAGCTGACATTAGACTCAGGATATCAATTCTCTCATAAAAGTTTACCAACTGTACAAGTTAAGAAAATTATACAAGCTTTTGTTTTAAGAAAGGACAGTTCAATCAAGACATAAGTACTGTAAAAATCTTTCAAAGGCTACAAAGGAATCTGGAAAAATACAGAACGTATTTCTTTAGCCCAGATAAAGAATATGGAAAGACATCATTGATGTCAACAATTTTACATAGACAAACCTGACCTGGTTTATTTATTTACCTTTTAAAACTTCTATATATAAAAATAGTTGTGCTCATAACTTTCAGGATTCATACGGGTTCCTTAACAACGGGATGGTGCTTTCCTCTCGCTCTCGGTGCCTGCTCTGATGCGTGTCTTCTATTTCATTTGAACCTCCTGCAAGGTTTGAACCAGCCCCTTGCTTCAAATAGGATGCTTTGTTCACTTGTACAATGCTTACATGGTGTATTACACACAGAAGTTTCTTTAAATGGATTAGGCTGGGAGTATTTTTGTACAAACCCACTGATCTGTTTCACTGATGTTTTTAAGAGCCTTACTGTTGCTCCCAGAACTGCAGTTGCCAGCGCTGAGAAACAGAATAGTCTCCTACTGCTCTTCAGCACTGAATAAATCCCCAAAACTCATCAGATCTTAAGAGCCACCTAGAAGGTAATAGGAAAAAAAAATCTCAGCAGATTGCTTTAGGGAACTGGATTTTGCAAGGTAACCCATCAACCCTGAAAATTTTAGACACCCCAAATTTACTCCAAGGAATAAAATCAGGTCCTAGCACTCAGTCATCCAAACTTTCTAGTTCTTCAAGCTTCCCGTGTGAATTTGATTCTTGGAAGAACTCTGAAGAACCTGGGCTCTCTTTGCCATTGCTGTTAATTCTTCTTCTTTTTAGAGGTCTTTCGTTTTTTTCTTCAAAATCATTCTCATTTCTTGAAGCTGAATGAGCAAGTTTTGGGTCGATGGAAAGGTTCTCAGTCTCATACCCATTTGTATCCAGATCCGTGTGAGGTGTTTTCTTCCCACTGGTAGGTCCATTTACATGCAATCCTTCAGTTTTTGCTTCATCTTTGTTTGGTATCTCACCTGGGCCATTAGCAGACACCCCTGTGTTCCAGAGACACAGTGTAAGGCACACAATAGAAGCATCACCAGTAACAGTACAATCTGAGACAGGTCAACAAAGCAGAAGTGTAACTAGCCCCATTCAACTAAAAAGCCAGTATTGCTCTCCATACCCTTGCTGTGTGAGGGACAAGTGATTTATTTGCATACAAATGACAGACATCACATCAGAGTTTCTGGAAGCTTTACAAGCAATACAGCCAAGAAAATGTCCTAGAATCTCCTAACTGCACAAGCTGCAGGTGGACTGTCCTCACCTGGGCACTTTCCATAGCTTCCTCTTGGCTTTCACAACCTGAGCCACCTCCAAGCTCCTTCCTCCTCCTCTTACTGCTCTCACCAGCTCCTTTTGAAAGGCTGCCCCTTGCTTTTGAGGTTTTCTTCCCACATGAGTTATCCTGTCCTGGCTCTTTTCCCATTCCTAACTGGCCTTCAATGCCCCACACATGGTAAGAACAGCCAGTGGTGTTCCTGAGAGAGGGAATGGAGTAGCACTAGTGCTATACAACAGCCCAGTTCCCATCTTGCTCCCTGCACTGGCTAAATGCAGACGTGTAGCTGGTTTAGAAACATTTTGAACTTGAAGGTTCTAGCACCTTGGAAACATTCAAACTAAACTAGGTTTGTTTCTCCCACTTGGCTTGTCATCTGTGATCATCTGGCAGCTGTTTCGGAGGGACAGGGCAGGCACTCACCATTCTGATTGCTGCTGCTGGTTGTGCTGTCTTCCCGCTCAGACTGGCTGGTGCTGCTGTTGGAAGTTGTAGGAGGAGGGGACGGAGCTCTACTGGATGCAGCACTTTCACTTTCATCCAGGAGACGGTCCATGTAATCCCTACACAACAGAAACAGCACATTCAGCTTCACCTTTGCAGTGTAAAGTACTGGTGTTATTTGCACATACATATTCCCTGCACATACTGCAAGTGTGACCAAGTCCCGTTTTAGATCTGTTGAAATGCACAGGCTTACCTTGCAAAGTTGACAACTTCAGTATCTCCTGGGTTAACTTCCCCAGGTATGGTTTGTCCACAGTAAGCATGTGTTTACTGACCAACCTCACAGCCAGCTTCTATAAATTCAGCCTGTGCTTATGCTAAGTCCCATAAGATCATGCACAAGCAGGAACTTCAATCTGCTGTGACGCTGTGGACTCTGCTTTCAAGGAGATGCTCTCCGGCAGCTTTGTACTAAGTTCTTGCAAT